TTGATAAGCTGATAAAGATGAAGGAAAATCTCTACTGGAATATGAGCAAGAACCTTAGGGTCTGTTTGGCTTAATGGAAGGGAAGGGAGAGGAGGGATTTTAATGGAGGGAATAGAAAGTGAGGGAATGGGAGAGATTTTAATATTACCTCATTTGGATTTATCAGGAGGGAAGGAAAGAGATAGATTTTAATATTACTTTGTTTGGTTTAGGGAAGATAGGGAGGAAAAATATTTTTATATGGACAATTTTATCCTTGTTCTATTTTAGTTGTTTTTATATTCCTACTTTCATAATGTTTAATAAAATATAATAATAAATTACGTTTATTATATAAAAGTATAATTTATAAGTTATAATCATGCTTCGAGTATACATACCATAATAATTATAATACATATGTAATAATAACTAAATATATATATTATATACTCGCGCAACTCATTGAATGGCACTGTTAGTTAACAATTTTTACTTAACATTGGGTGAGATGAGACAAGGAAGAAAGGCGAAAGGATAGGATGAGAATATTAAAAGCAGCCATAGACAATTTAATCAAAAGAAGATAACAGCATATATTTTCCCTCCAAATCCCCCTAGTTTTGGAGGGAAGGGTTGTGAGGGGAGAGGAGGGAAAACTTTATGAAATTTGCCCTCCCCTCCTACAAATTTTGGGTTGCCAAACAAGAGAAAATGAGCAAAATCCCTCTCCCTCCTTCTCCTTCCCTCCAAATCCCTCTTACCAAACGCACCTTTAGACTCATACAACTGATTAAACCCGAGGAGAATCTCCAATGATAAAAACAAATATTGATTTAATTTCCAGATTATTTCTACATGCTGTCATCCTCAATATTTATAGACAGAAAAATGACTCATGAGTCCCTAAAATTCTGACCCACTAACACGTGACTTAGGAAACGGAAAATAACAGACCTAAAAATGTGCAGAAAATAATGCTTGACTAGTAAGTGATTATTAATTATTAATTAATATATTAAATTCAAATTAATTAATTTCCACCAATTAACAGTGCACGTGACTTCTTAATTGGTACTCTCGTTCAGTTTAAAATTATCATAGGCTGTCGGACTGTTTGTCTAACCTGTTTCATTTGCCATAGTTCAACCTTTTTGGTGGTGTTCTAGTTCTTTCCACACCTCCGCAGAGTTGCCTTGATCCAATTGGCCCAGAGCCTAATTTGAGTGATTTCTTTATGTTTCACCATGGAGAGATATCATTGTGATCCGTATTAACTGAATCGTGAATTTACAATTTCAGAAGCGCTGTGTACCAGTTACTTTGGGTTAAACGTCCTTTCAACCTGAGATGAAATTTGATTTGGTGGTTTGTGGTCAGGTTTCCTGTGGAGGGACTCATTCAGTTGCTCTAACCCGTGATGGGCGAATATTTTCTGTAAGTACTGTTAATATTATCTCTTTATTTCACCGCTTTCTCAGGAACATATCTTGATACTTTTAAGAGCTCAAGTTCTTGTGTTAATGGTCTTAACTGCTTACAGTTTGGTCGTGGTGACCATGGCCGTCTTGGTTATGGGAGGAAAGTGACTACTGGTCAACCAATGGAAGTGCCCATTGACATTCCACCCCCGCAGAATGTACGTGAAAATGCAGCCGAGGGACGGTGGATAGCCAAACTGGTCGCTTGTGGTGGTCGTCATACTCTGGCAATAGCGGAATGGAAAGCAGATGAATCTACTGACTGACTGACTGAAAACTACAAATGGCAAGCAGGTCAAGTTGATAATTTTAAATAGAAGCTATGCTCTAGTGCCAAAATGTCCTGTCCTTGGATATGTCTCTTGTGAACAGATTATTCATCAAAATAGGAAGGACAATCTGGGTGGACTTTCTGACATGTGATAATAAATATAAGCCGTGTTTGTGGTTCCATTTTCAGCTGCCTAAACGAGTTTCCCACACTTATTAAAGTGTTTGGATTACCCTAAAAGCACTTCTTAAAAAAAGTGCTTTCAGCTTTTTATATTCGGTTGAGATAAAATTCTCCTCACATGTTTACTTCAAACAACATAAAATTACTTTTGAAAAGTTAGTCCTGAAGACACGGAGCTCCTATTCTGGTTTTCACTTGTTTGGTTGAAAAAATGATACCAGCATTTGTTCATTAATCCAAGGGAGAATGGTATATAAGAGTGTGATAATATATAGGTTTATGTCTTATTTCCAAATAAATTTATCGATTTATTTTTGTGAGAACATCGTAACACCAGTGGTGTTAATTGTTAACAAAGAGGATTTGAGTTGTTACATGTCAGAATGCTTGATATACGGCCAAAAGAAAATGGGGCAAATTTTTAAAAAAGGCCGTGAAATTAGAAAAATTACGTATAGGCACTGGCTCACAAAATTTGTTGTCAAAATATATACTATTATTGTCAAAACCTGTACTCATATTGTCATGGGTCCCAATTTGTAATTCTAATTTCACGGTCTTTTTTTGTGATTTTCTCAAGAAAATTTCTGTCTTGTCTATAATTTTCTTAGTCAATGATTTGTCTTCATTACATTTTTAAAAAATTAATGATTTAAGATTTATTTTTTATTCTATTTTTCATTTGAGATCTCAACTTTGTGCTTTTTCTTAACTAATTTATTATTTTAGTACTGATCAAAGGCCAACTTTTGAATAATTGAAATCTATGATAATCAGATAACCATGATTTTACTACATAACCATATCTTTCTTTCTTGATAAACAACGCATAGATAAGAAAATCAAAATCATAATTTTTAAAATAATGAAGAATAATGGAAAACCAATTTGGAGGTTCTTATGAGTTATCTTAGTTTTGAATTAGGTTTTTTTTTTTTTTTTAAACGGGTCCCTTAACTTTGTCTCCTTAGATCTGTTAGTTCCTACAATTCAAAAGTGGCTCGCATGTGTTTTTCCATAATATCCAAAATTATATAACTTCAAAAATAATATTAAAAATTATTATTAGAGTAAAATATTCTAACCTCCCTTACATTTTATCCTAATTACACGAACCTCTTTTTTATTTTGAAAACATACAATTTAATCTAAACTATTAATTCCGCTAAGAACATTTTATGAAGATATTTTTTAATTAAAATTTATATTAAAATTACTTTTATTTACTAATTTATCCTTCATAATATTAAATCCCTAAATTTTGGTTAAAAAGTTTTGAAAAATTTAAATTTTTTCCTTTTTCTTAATTCTTTTTATTTTTAAAATCAACTATTTAATATTTTTATCATATTGGGATAGAAAATTAAATAATTTAGTTAATGTAAACATAAAAAAACTTGAATGGAAATTTAATTATTTTTTAAATAAATATATAATTGAATAAATAAGTTAGAAATGTTTCTAACAAAATTTTTATTTAAAAATTTTAAATTATGAATTTAAATAATTTTTATAATCTCTAAAACTTAGATAATTTAGATTATATGATGAAAAGAATATTTATTTAATATATTTTGTAGCCATTTAGAAAGAAACTTAAATAAATAATTTTAATATTTATGATGAAAAATTAAAATAAAATTTCATAATATAATCAAAATTAATAAATTTTATTATATATTAAAAATTTTGAAAATGCATGTATTAAAATTATTTTTTTTGTATCAACAATTTTTTTGGCAAATATAAATGTTTAAAGAACTTTTATATTAAGGAGGGGTATTTGAGTCAAAACAAAAGTTTAAAAATCAAATTTAACAGTCAACTAACAATTGGATGGATGAAAATAAAATCTCAAATGTACAAGAGAGGTTTATGTAACATACATTTTATTTTGAATGGAGGTTTATATATATTTTCAAGACAGATAAAAGATTTTTGCAATTTTAATAAAACAGAAGGGTAATTAGTGTATTTCACTATTATTATTATTATTATTATTATTATTATTATTATTATGATGATGATGATGATGATGATGATGATGATGATGATGAAAAGAAGATTTTTTTTTGGGTGCAGTATTAAATGTGAAAAAAAAATCCTCAAGGTTGATTAAAAAAAACTCTATTTGAACACCCTTAGTCCGTAATCAAATAGTGACTATGAGATGCATATAAAATAAGTGACTCTGTGTGAGTGATGATATCCGGATTAACTAACTAATCTCCTGGTCATAAGAGAGAGGGCATAATAGGAAAGAGACTAGGATTAACTATCCGGCAAGCATTGAGTGGCTAGTAAATAGACATATTCATGAAAATTAACTATCCATGCCGCATGCTAATATGCGCTAGTCGAGGCGCAAAGTATAATTTAAATATGGAAACAAAATCAAATGAATATGTGAACATTAATGGAAAAAAAATAGTTATTGTATTTTTGCCCAAAAAAATAATAAACCAAGATGGCATTAAATATTAAATAATATTAAAAGATTATAAAAACAAATTATATCAAAATTTTGTGCTCCACTCGTTTCTCTCAATGTTATTTTTTTAGTAAATATCTAGAATTTAGTATTATTTATTAGTTTATTAATTTAAATTGTATTATCAAGTTTAAAATATATAGCGCTGCTCTCATAATATTTTTTTCCATCAATATTTTTTTTTAAAACAAAAGTTTAGACGAGTTAGATCCCGGGAGCTCACTAGGGTCAGGATATACTTCCAGATTTAGAGAACGCTTATAGAAGTACTTATAGATCGCCCATCAACAAAGTTCTCATATCAGTAGCTGGATTTAAACTTACAACCTTATGAGTTATAAGTCAATTCTTTGCTAACTATACCAATTCTTGTTGGTAATAATGCTGCATCAGAAATATTGAGTTTTTGCCCCTTCATGTGGAAGTCTCTCCGGGTGCAGTTTATGACTTGAGCAAACGGAAGCCCAATAATTTCATTTTGGGTCAGAAGTGACCCAATTAATTGAGATGGTGGAACAACAAGCTGGGCTACAAATTGGGCCACGCTTTACTATGCTGGCCCAAGAAAATTATAAGGCTACATCCTCTCTTCCTCAAAAACCCTAGTCCCTCACCATAACCGCGTCCCTCTGCGCCTCTCGCCTCTAGGTTTTCTGCAGCTGCTCTCTCCGGGAGAATTCCACCATGGTTGCCGCCAAGAAGACGGCAAGTTTCTCCTTCTCTGTTTCCTTCCCTTCATGCTCGATTCGCTTTGGTTCTTAGTTCGCATTTGAAGCTTCGTTTCTGATTCACAATTTTCCGTGATTTTTTGATGTCTCCTTTTCACCTCTGTACAAGCGCTAAGTTGATGGCTTCTTTGTCTCTCTCTTTTTACAGAAGAAGACCCATGAGAGCATCAACAACAGGCTCGCTCTTGTCATGAAGAGTGGGAAGTATACTCTGGGTTACAAAACGGTCCTCAAATCCCTTAGGAGCTCTAAAGGTTCGAATTGTAACCAGAAGCTTTCTTTGATCCGGTTGTTCTTTTTCTACTTTGGCATTCACTAAAATTGGATTAAGTAGTCCTAATGTGGATGTTTTTATTAACATGCGATGTAAATGGAATTTCGTCGAGCCAGGCTGGGCTATTTAGAATGGGGTTATTGATGTGCTTGATGGGAAACGTTTCCTTTTAGGTCTTAAAATATGGATTGCTGGGGGATCTTAAAAGCCAAGTGTCGGTTGCATGGTGAAATTTCGAATTGCATTCGTTGTTGTCGAATCATTTTTGGGCATCTTCTTTTTAGATTCATTTTTTTAGATTAAAATGAGTTCATCTACAATCCGTGGGACTATAACCTGAGTTTCACTGTGGTGGATGTTGCTGTTGTTATCGGTGTTTTGCTACAAATATATACAATTTATACATAAATAATTAAATATTGTCTTTAATGTTCTATTGGCAGGAAAACTGATTATCATTGCCAACAATTGTCCACCTCTGAGAAAGTCAGAAATAGAGTACTATGCCATGTTGGCTAAAGTTGGAGTTCACCATTACAATGGAAGTGAGTTCTCAATTGCAAAGTTTTCTAGCTGATAATTGTCGGTAAATGTTATGTGTTTTGATGGTGTATCGGTTTTGTCTGTTTGGTAGTCCTCGTCTTTAATTCTATACAGTGGGGGCCATTGAAGAATCCGTGGAACCATATTAACTATAAATATTTGTGAAGCAATAGCCACATTACTGAGCTTTTGAAAGAAAAGCCAGTTCATCTTGGCACTTTGATTGTTTTATTTTTCTCTATATCTGCGCTATTAACCTTGGGGCTTAACACGTCTTTGGGCTCTTACTATCATGCTTTTGGTATCAAAATGATTGTGCATTTGCTCCAAGTTCACATGACGATCCAGCTTGAGCATGCTGACTTGAAAATAGCTGGCTGTTCTGATTTCTGCTACTCCAGGGAATTATTAAATTTTTTATGCCCTTTTGAGTCATGTTGCCCTTGCACGGTGATTTAAAAGCCGCCTTGAATGTGTTGTGGTGTGTAATAAAAACATTCACATAACTCAGGGTTTGAATGAAAAGTGGAGGATGTTTCCTATGTACTCTTATGTTTTATGTGATTCTCTTCGCTTGAAAGGACTTTACATTCTGTTGACTTGAGGGTATTCAAATTCTTTCAGACATGAAGTCATTTTACTTTGTGCTGTTTACTGGTGTGGTATATCTGTGTGTTGCCATGTGTTTAGATGTGATATCTAGTGTCCAGGGACAAAATGAATGATTCTGTCCCAGTAAAACATCTCTAATGAAGTTTTTTCTGTTTGTAACAGACAACGTTGATTTGGGCACCGCATGCGGCAAATATTTCAGAGTGTGCTGCCTCAGCATTATCGATCCTGGTACCTTGAGCTGTTTAGATCTAACATCAATATGGTGAAGGTAAACTTTGGTATTGCATATCGCTAATTGTGATATTTCTTTTTTCAGGTGACTCGGACATCATTAAGACGATGCCTGGCGAGCAGTAAGTGATTGTTGTTTTTGTTGGGTACGAGTACCGAAGTTGAGTGCTAGTCAAGGGTAGAAATTTCTGAGTTTTATGTACTAATTTTGTTTACATATTGAAGTTTCGTTGTTCCAATACTCTGCCATATATCGGTATCGAAGTGACTTTTTTTAGCAGGTTGAATTTGTGGTTTCAGTTCCTCTTTTTAGGGAAATTGATCTTGCGCGATTTGAACCATTCCTCATTCAATTCTTGTTTTTCCCTGTTTAACATCATTTTGTTTTGGCAATTAAACCGTCATATATTCAGTCCATCGTAAGAAACAACTGCAAGATAAAATGTAAAGATTAATTCCAGTAATTACAAAGCTTTTGAATTATGAAGAGGTATTTTTAATTAATTTGTGGGATGTTGTCGCAAGGTGGCTAAACTGATCAGAAGATTGGGAATTTTCCACAGATATGTGGTGTAAACGACTTTGGAAAATGTACAAGTTTTCATTATATTTTTTCAAGGATAGATGGATTGAATCAAACTATGAAGTTACTCAATCAAAAGGGTTGTAATTATTAGTGATATTTGGAAGTAGAGAAACACTGGTCATATTCAACAGATTATTTTAAAGGAAAATGAGAAAGATAGGACTAATCTCCTCTTTGACCGGGAAGAAAGGACTGATCTGCTCGAAAAGAAATATAGGACTAAAGCCTTTACGCACTGGTGTAGCTTTTGCGAGACATCGGTCTAACCAAATCTCGATAAATTCGACCACTCGGACGCTTCGATAAGTCTTCATCTTCAACAAGCAAATGTAGGTTGATTTTCAATAGCCTACCTTAATGGACCTTTTCCCTTTTATTAAATAAGCCACGGCTTCTGAAGCCTCCAAATAAAGTAATATACGAACAAGCCAATCCCACCCCAATCAAAGCAAGCATCCTCCAAGTATGATTACTTTCACTCTTCTCTGATCTCACTTCTTCTACGCTGAAACTCTGCCTGCTTGAATTTCCTATGATACCCTCGTCCACATACCCGTATCCCACGTACGCCCTATTCCCTTCCCCCACAACCACTGAGGTAGGAAATCTTTTTAAATCAAGGTTAATTTTGTCAAACACCGCTCCCTCTGTCCAGTTGTCTTCACTCTTCAAATACCACAGCTTATTCACAGGTGACACCACCAAAACGACGCCGTCACTTCGCAATGCGATGTCGTCTGCTCCCATCAAGTCCTCGTTTAGTTGCACCAGCCTCGCCGTCCCGTCGTTTGCATCAACCTTGAACATCTTGCCCGTATTGGATTGCACCACCAACAAATACCCCTTGCCGACGTAAGCAATGCCGTTCAGGCCGCAGGAACTATACGATGTGTGGCGGTCCACGGGATGGGCGGCGTATTGTGGAGACCTAGAGAATATCGACGCCTCTCCTTCGTCGTTCACTTTCCATATGTAGTTCCCAGCAGAGTTGGTGACATAGGCGTCTCCCTCGTCATCCACCGCGACATCGTTTGCGATCGCACGGTTGGACTCGCCGTCGTCGGAGTCTGCTGTGGGGAGGACGGAGAGGAAGAGCCGTTGCCGAGAACGTAGGTCGTAGGCTGCGAGGGCATTGAATGGAGGGAGAGGGTTGGCGGCGTGGACGACGGCGAGGAGGCGTCTGTTGATGGAATCCACCGAAAGACCCACGAAGGAGACGTTTTCGGGGAGGGATGAGTCGAAGATGAAGGTTTCGGCAGTGCCGGCGTCAGTGACGGCGACGATGGTCCGCTGACGGAGCGATCCTAGGAAGAATTGCTGGGTCAGAGGGTCCCAAGCAAGGCCTTCAGGGTAGAGATTTGGAAAGCGGAAATGGATTTTTTGGGGGCTTGCATCAGAAAGAAGAGAAGAAGCCAAGAATGAGACGCCAAAGATGAGGAAGAAGATGAAAGCGCGGATGGAGATTGAGGATAGATTTGGCGATGAGATTAACAAGGTGAGTTTGAAGTAAATGCGAGATCAGAGAGTCTTGTGGAGGTTGTTCGTTTGCTGCATTTCATGTGAGTTTGTTAAGAGAATTTATATGTGAAATTCGCCTTCAGGGTCTTATTAGATATCGTTTCTTGTCAAACAGGCTTCAACTTTTGTTTTTTGTCAAACAGGTTGCAGTCCGCTTCTCGCCTGACAATGTTTTTTTAAGCAGAAATACCGTTCCATTTTTTAATATTTTTTAATATAAAACTTATTTTATAATATAATTTATATTATAAAGTAAATTTTATAGTAAGAATAAGAGAAATTATTATTTTTTCACCTTGTTTCCCCTTCCCCATTCGCTCTTATTATCTGAACTTTTATGTTCTAATATACTACCTCCGGTCTTTAATAAAAGATTTTGTTTGATTTTTATTTTGGTTCTAAATATAAAATCTTAATTCACTTTATCTCTTATATTTACGTTTTTTTTTCCTAATATAGTCTTTCTAACAATAGTAGTTCTAACCAATAAATACACTTAATTAGTAAGGATATTTTAAGAAAAATAACACATATTTATTACAAATAACTAACTTAACTTCTTTTCTTAATATTCTCAAATTAGTCAATTAGCTCTTATAATTAAGATTGGAGATAATATATAGATGTGTATATATGTATTCCTCCAAAGAAAAAGAATATAAGAATATATTTTAGGAAAAATCACAATTAAAGATCCTGGAATTTGAAAAATACAGATAGCGACCCGTGACAACTTCACTTAAAGTTGTCAAAACCCATAGTGAAGTTGTCACGGGTCCCTATCTGCGTTTTTCAAATTCTAAGATCTTTTTTTGCGATTACCCTTATATTTTAATATATTTAGAGAATATTATCATAATATATTTAGAGAATATTCTAATTGGGCCCTTATGGTTTGTATATTTGCTAATAGTCATGCATTTGTTAAATTTTAGCTCTATTTGTGTCTTTGAATAAATGGAAATAGTCATCATATTTGGATTAATCATAGAAATGTGATTTTATGAAGTACAAGGTAAATAATTGGTAAGAATTTCATTTCGTAAAACTCATTTAATTTGGTGCTTATTTGGAGCTGATAAGCATATTTACATAAGTTGAAATATAACTTATTTCACATACTTATTTTGTATTCTATAAATGACAATTAAAAAGCTATTTATAAGTTATTTTAAACCAGAAAAAAAAATTAAAGAATGTAAGGCATGAGTAAAGGATATTTCTCTTAAAAATAGTGGCATCTCTTTATCATTTTATGTATAGTTGTAACTTTCTTCATTGTCTTCTCTCTTCTCGGTCTTCTCCTGGAATTCATAGTCACTTCATCAACTTCATTTCTTTTTCATATCCATTCACATTTTTCTTGCAAATCCAGTAATCGAAGTCGTAAAGATTCATCAAACAGTACAAAACAAAGCAATACAAATCATGATTCTTTCGTCTCTGGGCAAAAAAAAAAAAGACCGATTTTCCCGCGGTATAACGATGATCCTTACCCTTAGTAATTCTTCCCTGACACTTTAATTTTATCATGCAAAATTGTGAGTATTTTAAAATTAAAATTTGTGAGGGTCGTGCACAGGCTACATTGAACTTAATATCACTTTTGACTACACGTTTAGATGTATCAACCTCTTATTATTACATGGCATGGGTGATGAGAGCCAAGATCCTAATTACTTTTAATCAAGTTTCTATATAGATTAATTACATAGCCTTGCTAAAATCAACAGACATTAGTGGCTTTTGTTGCTTGGGCACAAAAAATTGTTACTACCTCCTGTGCTAAACATAAAAACTAGTTAGAGACACTATAACAAAATATATTATTTACCTCCCTCATTTATGTCTGTTCTAAAAAATAGAGGAGAAATATATAGTTTTTATGTCTGTTTACACAAAACAGACATTACTTCATGTCTGTTTACACAAAACAGACACAAAGTAACATCTATTTAATAAAAACATACATTAATTCACGTCTGTTTGGAGAAAACAGACATGTCTGTTTTCTCCAAACAGACGTGAATTAACGTCTGTTTGATATAAACAAACGTTACTTCACATTTGTTTTTAAAGAAACAGACGTGAAGGTGGCTTATTTTTTAAAAAAATTTGCCCTTATCAGCTTCATATCAGTACTGCCAGGCTAATTTAGTCACCAACTAGTGGCTAGCGCGCGTGGGAACTTTGATTTTTTGCTCTCTCCCTCTCATTTTCGTCTTCTACTTGTAGCAACCGTGAGCTACTCTGAAACTCTCCCTCTCATTTCAGCTCTCTCAAGGCCGTTATTCTGTAGCTAGTCCTCACTCCATTGTCGTCGTTCTGCAGCAGCTATAATTTTTGTGTTGTAGTAGCTCGTCACCGTCGATTAACAAGGCTGAAGCAGTGAAGTTCACACGCACAATAGCTTGCCGTCCTCCTCGTCTCTCTAGGCCGTGATACGCTCTAATTCGAAGGAAAGCCACAATAGTTTCAATCTACAGTGAAGGTAAGTTCATTCAACGGTTGTATTGTGGGTTTAATATGTTGTACGTGGGTTTGTGTGACTTGAGGAATTTTAATTTGATTTCTAAGGTTTCTGTTTAAATTTTTATTGAAGAATTGTGTTTAGATTGTTTAAATTTGTATATACTGATTGGGTAGAAAATTTAAAGATTTCAAACCTTGTTAATACTTGTTAGAAAAATAATGCATACAAGGTGTTTATCAAAATGCCTAAGAGAGATTGCATTTAGATAATTTCCTATATGTATTGAATTTAGATTAAGGATTGGGTATACATTAAATTATTAATGAAAAAAATTGCATTTAGATGGGTTGAAATTTGTTTACATTGATTGGGTAATGGATTTGAAGTTTGAAATCCCTATTAACTAACTTGTTTGAAAATCAATACATCAAAAGCGTTTGTCAAAATGTCTAAAAGAGAATTTTCCTATATGTATTGAATTAGAATGTTGATTACATTCAAGAGGAAGCTTTAAAAATGGGATGTTTATTAATTGAATAATGGATTTGAAGATTAAAAAGATTGTTATGTATTAATTAGTTGTCAATGGAAAGCTTTGTTCTAATAATTTTTGGATTTTTGTTATGTTATATGTAAAATCTCCACTACTTGTAAAAGTAATTTTTATGTCTTTTTAAATTTTAGGAATTGGCATGATGATATAGTCATTATAAGATGTGTTATGCTGTAATTTGAATGAATCGGATTCAATTGATATTATTAGTTTTGAATTTGGTTAATGTTCATTGGGACTGTGCTGAATGATAAAAATCACACTTTTAACCTCTATTTTACCCCAAAACAGATGTAAATTTACCTCTGTTTAACCAAAACAGATATAAATTTATGTATTTTTATCCAAAAGAAGACATGAATTGACGTCTGTTTTAGCAAAACAGACGTCAATTCACGTCTGGCTTAAGAAAAACAGATGTAAATTTATATCTGTTTTTGGAGAAACAGAAGTAAAAAAGTGATTTTTTTACTTCTGTTCAAAACAGATGTAAATAATACCATTATTCTCTTCTGTTCAAAACAGAAGTAAAAGGGGGGTACTTTTTATGTCCCTTCTTTTCATGTCCCCCGCAAAACAAAAGTAAAAAGTCATACAAAATAGAAGTAAAAAGTCTTCATTGTAGTAGTGAGATTTAGGGCCTGTTTGTTTATGTTCTTTGTTTTCTTATTCTTAAAACAATTTTATAAAAAAATTTTTAAAAACAAGTTTTGGAAACAAAAAAAAAACTTTGTTTGGAAAATGATTTTTAAAAAATCACATTTGAAAAAAATATATAAAAAATCATACTTTGACAAATGATAGTTATCACCGGTAGTGATAAGTAGTAGGTGGTAGAGAAGAAGAGAAAAAGATTTCTCTAATTTTTCAAAAAAAAAACACAAAAACAAAAACAAGAAAACATGTAAAAGTTCTTTTGGTTTTCCAGTTTTTAAAAACATATTATTGTTTTTTTGCTTTTTAAAATAATTAACTAAAAACATATTGCCAAACAAGTTTTTTTGTTTTTCTATTTTTAAAAACAAAAAATTGTTCTCAAAACAAGAAACCAAACAAGCCCTTAATTTCTTAATTCACTTTGTCTCACAGTTACAGATAACTAATTTATTAGAAAAAACAATATTTATTTATTATAAATAGCCAATTTAACTAATTTTTTTAATATTTGTAAATTAGTCATATAATTTTATATCAAGGACTGAAGATAATATTATTTGTACCTCTTTTGTCATGTGGAAAATGACCAAGGCGACAAAGAAGATGAGCAGAAGGGCGGGAACGCCTCACATATGATTAAATTGTGTAAATGATTTTGAGAACATGTTTTATGTCCAAGTGTTTTTATTTGTCTGTTGGGAATAGATGGGCTTGAATCCATATAGCGACTCAATGAAAAAGACTAGCTGCAGGCATATATACCTGGCACTTGAAAAAACTTATGTTATATATATATATATATATATCCAACAATAGTTTCCTTGTTTTCTTAAAAAAAAAATATAAATGCAGGACTAAAACCCCATAAATAATTAAAAAAAAGCATGAATTTTCGGGGTACAATAGACCCTATCACATAAAATATAACTATAGTTCATGCTTCGTAGAATATTAACGAAAGCGAGAATACAACTTTAGAAGCCTGACCAGTCCTCTGATACATCCATAAAAATCCAACAATATTTATTCAGTTCTTTAAACTTAGTTAACCTTTTCTCCCTTATTAACAAGCCACGACGGCTTCTGAAGCATCCAAATAACAAAGAAAGCCAACCCTGTCCCAATCAAAACAAGCATCCTCCTCATTTGAATACTTCTATTTTCCCTCTTTGATCTCACTTCTTCTATGCTGAAACTCTCCCTCCCTGAATTTCCCATCATACCCTCCTCCACATTCCCATATACCACATACGTCCTATTCTCTTTCCCCACAACCAATGAAGTAGGAAATCTTTTCAGATCAAGGTCTATTTCGTC